TTTGGGAATGCTAAAACCTAAGAACATTAAAACTTAAGACACACGCATGAAGCTAGTAAACTGAGTGCTTAGAAAGGATGGTTGTTACACCTTTCTCCATAAAGAAAGGCCTGACATTGTTTCCTTCGGAGAATCGGGAACATGATGCACCAAGAATGTCCTTGTGGGATGAGGTTGTAAGGACTCTTCTTTGCCACGGCCTGGGTAAAGTATTAAAAAACAGCCACTCCTAAAATTAATTTCTACAGATATTGAACCATTTTTAGGAAAGAGAGAGAGATTGTGATGGTGCAGGAGAAAAGTCCCTGAAGGTAGCATAATTTTCCAAGAGCAGAAAGAAGCCTTTCGAATGTCTCTGATATTGCACTTACCCTTATTTTTTATCCCCCTGAAAAGGTTACAGCTATGAGCGCTTGGACGGATCTGTACGAGGTGAAGAAAGGCACCTTGCTATTAAAAACTTTGGCCAAGAGCCCATTTTTGTCTTCCTCCTGAGCACCAGGGCAGGTGAGGCATTGTAAGGGTGCTTTTATACCAGTTCGGAGATGAGAGATGCTTGCAGCAGATGTGTACATGGGTTTTTGTGTTCACGCACACCCTGTCCTGGCATTCCTATGTTGCCCTTTCCCCAGACATTGCCGTGTCGTGAGCATCATGCTAGATATGAAGGTTTGCCCAGAGCTGTACAGCCAGCCTCACTTGGAACACAATTACTGTGTTTCTGTGATCGAGGACTCGGCCTCATCAGAGGCCTTTACCCTGGGAGTTGTGTAAGCCCTTTCAGCTGCCAGCTGACTGAGCCCTCTGTGGACCTTTGTACTTGCTGTACAAAGGTTCAGCATGTCTCCGAGATGTAGTGACTTTTTTGGGATGGGGCTGGCTCTTCTCCAGGGAGGCACCATGGGGAACTGAACTCCCAAACTCTTGCTCCGCAGCCAGAGACGTAACTCACTAAGCTGTGCTAGTCTTTGCAGATTCATAATTGGCCGTGTTCCACAACCACTCACCAAGGACCCCCCAGTCCTGTTGCCCATATTGATGGCTTTCACATACAGTATTCTATCCATAGCCTTGATTCAGAGACACCTTCCATCTTTTCTGTCTTCTGGTTTGTTTCCACCTAGCAATGCCATTCCCAGAATCTTATCTTCCAAGGAAGGATGTTTCCTTTCACAGGTGCATAATTATCCCTGTCAGTTTCTAAGTAAGGCTTCCAGGTTCTGTAACACACCTCAACGAAACTAGCAAGATGAGGTGCAGTTGTATAGATGCAATCTGAACATGGAGAAAGGCAGTAGAATGAAGTAGAGGGAAGGTGCTTTCAAACAGATCCAGTTTCAACTCACGGGATGGTGGTACATGCATTCTTTGTCCAGACACGACCTCATCGGGTTACTGTAAAGTAAAACAAGAAAGAGCTTTTAGTTCTTCTGAAGAGTGTCATGGAAAGAGCCCTCTACTTTTGGGAGCAGTAATCAAGAATACCTCAATATTTACAGCGCATGAGCTTTGGTGAAAGATGGAAATCTGTAGCTAAAAGCTGAAGAAGTACTCACTGGCAATTTCTACACAACTTTCGGGAGAGGATGCCAGGGATGGACCGAAGTGACAGAGGCTGAAGGAAGGCTCACACTTTCCAACATGGGTCTGCCAGTGTAAAACTGAGGGATGAGCATTTTAAAAAGCAGAAGCATTTTAAAATGATACCTTTAACATTCCTTTATATAATGTTTTTTTTTTAGGTTTCTGAATTTTTACCTGCCCCCAGATATTTGGGATGGGACGGTCTATGCCTCAAAACTTTATGAAGTGCAAAGCACAGTCCCATGCAGCTTGATTAATTCACTTGCCTAAATGCTGCTGCTTTTCCTTTGTTTTTGAGTTGTAAAGGGGCTGAAAAGTCTTTGCTTGGTCCACTGCCCTTTTAATTGTCTTTTAATGGCATTCTCCTTTATTTTTCCCAAGGTGGAGTTGGCATGAATCTCACAGCCGCAGATACTGTTGTTTTTGTGGACAGCGACTTTAATCCACAAAACGACTTGCAAGCAACAGCAAGAGCCCATAGGATTGGCCAGAATAAGTGAGGAAAAAAATCTTATGTAGATGGGTGAGTGGGTGGGTGTGAGCCTGTGCCTCTTCTCTCCTAGGGGACATGTCCCCCATAGCACGAGGCATGGCTACAGCCGTCCAAAACACAGCCAAAACTCCATCTTAGCTCCTCCCAGACATATTTGGGATCCAAGATATCCTAGCACTCAAGAGTTGTGCAACTATGATAAGATCAAGATGCAGCAGGTTTTCAGCTCTTTGCCAGGAGCTGCTGTGAGCACTCTAGCAGTGGGAGCACCAGGAAGGTGCCATGGATCATTTCAAACCAGGCTTTCCCTGATAAGTCACCAGAGTTCCCAGAGCCTTTACCTGTCTGGTCGCTGGAGCTTGGAGGGCTTTTAACATGACCCACATCAAACTATTTTTTTTTCTTGGAAAGATGTGGGGTTTTTACCCAAAAAAAGTCACCTTGCACCCAATTTTTATTTTTTTAAGTGGGGAGGAATTTTGGGGCTCCCATGGTGCTAGGCGTCCTTGAAAACATGGCAAAATGGCCCACAAATTATGCAGCTGAGTTCCCCACATTTGGGGAAATCACAGGAATCAACCACACACCCAAAGTACAATGGATGAGCCTCCCCTTGGGAGAACCATTTTTATGACATGGTATTTCCCCTGCAAGGTATGAATTGGAATGGCCCTTGCACCTCATATCCCCTTCTGTCCCCTGACCCCCCCAAGGCGTGGTGACCCCCTGGCTGCACCTCCCACTCAGTACCGTGCCCTGCGGGACCCCCATCAGGGGCTAGGTGTTCCTCCCACAATCCTCTAGTGCACAGGTATTAGCATAAAGTAGCTAAGTGTTCTGCCCACAATTAGCATAAGGTATTAGCATATGCTAATACCTGTGTAAGAGAAGATTGTGGGAGGAACACTTAGCCCCTGATGGGTGTGCCGCAGGGCACCTCAAAACACTGAGGATCTCTCTTGGCCTCTGGCAGGACTGGGGCTGTGCAGCCCTGTACTGAGTGGGAGGTGCAGCCAGGGGGTCACCATGACTTGGGGGCTTAGGGGAAAGAATGGGGTAGGAGAGGCAAGGGCCATTCCAATTCATACCTTGCAGGGGAAATACCATGTCATAAAAATGGTTTTCCCAAGGGGAGGCTCATCCATTGTACTTTGATTCCTGTGATTTCCCCAAATGTGGGGAACTCAGCTGCATAATTTGTGTTAATGGGAGATTACATTTGTGATTTCCCTGTTTTGTTTTTACAATCTCTTTACACTTTCGTTCCTGTCTGTTTTCACCATCCTTTATCATTTAAACTTGCAGCCATAGCCCCATTGGTGATGCTTTACAAGATGGATTTTTTCTTCCATTGAAACACATTAATTATATAAGACCTACTTTTTTTATCCCTCCTGTTTTTCCAGGAGGCAGACCCTGGAAAGCCAGCAACATACACTTTCTTCCCCACTTTCTTGGGATAAAAAAGTAGGTCTTATGTAATTAATGTGTTTATATGGGGGGGGGGGGGGGAACCATCTTGCGAGGAAAGGACCCAAACATTGTCCAGCGAAAATTGCCCGAAGCAAAAAGTCATCCTCTAGTGAGGCACCACTGTAATTGTATTTTTATTTAATTGTTCACCTGCTCAGGTGCCAGTGGCTAGAAAGTGAGATATAACAAAAGTTTCTTTAGCATTGCTTCATGTACTGAAGCAAGTTCAATACGTTTCCCCTACCCGCTTAGCGATGATTCCGTATAGCGAGGGTTAATCCGGAACGGATTAACCTCGCTATACGGGGCACCACTGTATAACAAAAGTTTCTTTAGCATTGCTTCATGTACTGAAGCAAGTAGTTTAGGTATCAGTCTGCAGATCCAGAGACTGGGAGTTGGATTCCCCACTGTGCCTTCTTGACAGATGCTGAACCCAATGAACCGTATGGTCCCTTCTAGCTCTGTAGTTCTAAGCCTAGGTTACATTACAAGTGATGGTGCTTGAATATGCTTCTTTCCAGCTGCATTAGTCCCATATCAGGTGCTTGTACTATAATTTCCATCGGATCTCATCGACATGGCTAATGGTTCTGAGTTGATGGGAGTTGTAGTCCAGAACATCTTCAGGGGCTCAGTTTGAGGGAGGCTGCTGTAGACAAAAACTGATCTGGCCTGTGGCAAGGTGTGGTAAAAGTACCATGGAAGTGCAGGGTAAAAGTTCTGGCACTGCTGGGAGGATACTTGCAGTCTGCTGCTGGGAACGAGGGTGGAGATCCTGTAGCTATCCCAGTTGTTCTCTTCAGTCCATGCCAGTGACTGTCTTGGCTAGAGCTGAAGCAGGAGGCTTGCACAGCTATGGATCCTAAGGAAATGAGACTTAAGGAGAGAACAGACATGCTTGCAGCTGGCAAAAAAGCATTTGTGAACCAGGAATGAATGACAGGTTCATCTGGGGAACTGATGGAATTTGAAAGAAGTAAAGAACTAGTTTCATTCTCATGAGTTTCATGAAGTGTTCTTCCTTTATTTTGTTCTCAGTAGCCAGAATCCTATTTCCAGCTTACACTTGCTTAAAAGAAATGGCATGATTAGGACACAGATGGGTACTCATTAATGATGTGCTGGTTGTCTTGCTGAGTACTGGCTCAGGTTGAAGGGGAATTCGTCACCAGGACTTTTGTCTTACATAAATCAGCAATAAGGATTCCACAGGCCTTAGCCTCTTGTGATCAAATGCATACAACTAGGTGTTATTTATAGATGGTATACCTAATCATATATATACACCTAATTGTGTGTGTGTGCGTGTACACCTTATATATAAAATGTTCACTTTTTCCCTTTCAGGCCTGTAAAAGTGATTCGCTTGATTGGGAGAGACACAGTGGAAGAGCTCATCCACCGCCGAGCAGCATCAAAGCTCCAGCTAACAAATGCTGTTATTGAAGGTGGCCAATTTGCTCTCGGAGCACAGAAGTCCTCTGGTGACACAGATCATGAGGTAAAAGAGAGATCAAAAGTGGCTTTGCCCAGCCATTGAAACTTTTGTGCAATATCAGGCCCACTTTCATTAAAAATCTGTGGCAACAGCAAACAGATTGCATAGAATCATGGACTAATGGAGTTGGAGGGGGCCTATAAGGCCTTCAGGTCCAACCCCCTGGTCAAGGCAGGAATCCAAATCAAAGCAGGTCTGACAAATGGTTTCCAGTTTTGAATGCCTCCAGTGTTGGAGCACTCACCACCTCCAGAGTTAATTGGCTCCACTGTCATTCTATTTTAACCGTTGTCAGTTTTTTCGTGATATTCAGCCTGAATTTGGCTTCCTGTAGCTTGAGTCCATTATTAAATGTCCTGCCATCTAGGATGACTGAGAACAGATCCTGCCCCTTCTCTGTATGACTAGCTATCAAGTGTTTGAAAAATGCTGCCATTTGTCTCCACATTCGTCTTTTCTCAAGGCTAAACATGCCCAGTGCTTTCAGTTTTTCCTCACAGGACAGGGTTTCCAGTCACTTTGTAAAGGACAGAGTCCCAAACTGGACACAGTGCTCAAGATGAGGCCTAACCAATGCTGAATAGAGGGGGACTAGTACCTCCCAGAATTTGGAGACTGTAGCTGTGTTAATGCATCCTAAAACAGCATTTGCCATTTTTGCAGCTGCATAACACTGTTAGCTCATATTCAGCTTGTGATCTAAAACAATTCCAAGATCCTTCTCACTTCTGGTATTACTGAGCCAAGTATTCTCCACCTTGTAAATGTGCATTTGGTTTTTTTCTCCCCTTGGTATAGAACTTTTCATTTATTCTGTTACTTTTCATTCTATTGTTTTCAGTCCAGTGCCCAAGCTTATAAAGATCTTTTTGAATTTTGTTCCTGGTTTGAATTTGGTTCAAATTATAGGTCCCTTCAAACTCAATTATTCTATGATTCTGAGGTATTAGCTATTCCGTTCAGTTTTATGTAATCTGCAAATTTGAAGTATTCTTTGCACACACCCCCATCCAAGTTATTAATAAAAATGTTGAAGAGTAGCAGGCCCAAATCTGAGCCTTGTGCTACTTCACTTGTTTCCTCCTCCCAGTTTGAGAAGGAGCCATTGATAAGCACTCTCTGAATATGATTCTGTAACCAACTATGTATCCATCTGACAGTTGTTCTACCTAGCCCACCTCTAGTTAGTTAATCAGAATTTCATGAGGCACTTTCTTAAAGGCTTTGCTTAAGTCAAGATATATTATATCTATAGCATTCCCACAGTCTACCAGGGACGCTACCTGATCAAAAAATGAGATCAGATAAGTCTGGCAAGATTTATTCTTGACAAATCCATGTTGGCTTCTAGTTATTACAGCATTGTTTTCAAGGTGCTTGCAGAGTGACTGCTTTATAATCTGCTCCAGAATTTCCCCTGGGATTAATGTCAAGTTGACCAGTCTGTAGTTCTCTGGTTTCTCCTTTTTGCCCTTTCTTGTTCATGTACATCGTACGGGAAAGCAAGAGGCCAAAGCAGCCTAGAGGAGTCCTTCCAGAAGGATTTTAAAAACTAAAACAAAACCCCTTGCAATGTTAATAACACATAACGTGCTCAGTCTCTTGTTTGTAAAGATAACATGGGCATTTGAAGATACAATGAAAAGTCATTATTCTATGAAGATGTTCGGCTTGGTCAACAAGCCACAAGGAAACTTTAACATTTATAGAGAAAGAGCCTCCAGGAACTGGTAGAGCCATTTTGTTTGCTCCCAGTGTTGTTGCCTCTTTAATGACTTTTGCTTTTAAAAATGCACTTGGGATAGTTTGGGGAGGAAAAACCCTCCTGTAAAGGTTTGTTGCTTTATTGGTTTGATCTTCAATTCAGAGCAAAATAGACAGGCAAACGTGATGAAGGTAGCTCAATGCATCGGGTTTTCTGCATCGGCATCCCCTTTGATCATGAATACTGTGGTGGCTTTATCGTTGTCAAGCTGGGTTCCACTAGGTGACTGTGTCGTCTCACAAGCAAGTAGTACAGAGACAAGTACATGGCCATTATGACTCCGTTCATTGGGTCTTGTTCTCCCATGTCCAGGCTGCTGCTGCTGCTTCCCTATGTATAGGAATGGAATTGCAGAAGCGTTGGAAGAGCTAACCAGGGTGACTTTCTATGCTTTGTTGTTTTCAATTCCTTGAAAGCTGAGCGAAATCCTGAAGTTTGGTTTGGACAGACTGTTGTCATCAGAGGGAAGTACGATCTCTGACGTGGACCTGGGAAGCATCCTTGGTGATACAAGAGGAGGGATGTGGCTAATGGACCCTGTGTTGTCTACTGGAGAGGGAGATGAAGAGCAACACCTAGAAAGTATGTGGACAACTCTGACCTAGACTTTGAAAAAAAACACCAAAAAACACATAGGGATCAGCATTTCATGCTGTTGGGAATTAAGGCTTGTTTTAAAATCCTGACCCAGCCCATTCCCCCTTCCTCTGCTTTTCCAGTCTCCTTGCCTTCATCCTCTGCCTTCAGAATTTAATGCTGCTGCTGCTTCTATTGACAAGCCTTCTTTTCCGTAACTCCAGTCAGTCTCACTAGTCGCCCTGAGTTCCAGATCCCACCACTTGGAAGATTTACTGGCTCAAAGCTCTCCAAGGCCGGCAGACAAGGCTGGTGTTGTGACTTGCTTAAATGGCAAGATTTTTTAGAACGATGGAACTTTTGGCAGTTATTTGACCGTGGTCGCTGAAGGCATTCCAAAGGCAGTAGATCTTCATAACGGTCTAGGGAGAGGGAAGAGGGCGAGCAGTAGCTGCTGCCTTCAGGCCCTGCCTGTGAGTCCCTCCCCACCCACCCCGAAGCACTTTGATATCCATCAGTGGACTTGATGAACCCTTGTCTAATCCAGCAGTGGTTCTTCTGACCATTTTTATCTCTGTATTCTGTTTTTCTGAAGTTCTTACTGGAGTGTTAGGGCAAAAAAATAGATGTGATGGGGCAGTTCTATTTGTTAATGTGTTTTTAAGTCATAGGGAAGGGTAAAAATTAACTTGACATCTAATAGCATCCAAAAATCTTGGCTGTATTTTCCTTTCATGGGAGCTTTTAGCAACAGTTTCTCCATCTTCATGGTGATCTATACCATATTAAGGTTACAAAATGCTTGGGTCTTCCGACCGAAGGCTCAGTTAGAATTGCTTAAATGGAACATCATTAGGGGCCAGTTTCTAAAAGTAAAGAGATCATCATCAAGAAAGATTATGATGTTGAAGCCAATGCTGAATCAAGTCCCTTGTGGTGTCAGTGGATCAACTGGAGTTGTTGGTGTGTGTATGTATTTTTTTTAAGGCCACATGTACCTATACGAAGGGAAGGACTACTCCACGGAACCTAGCAGGGAGGACCAGAAAGCTTTTGATCAGTTGCTCAATCTTCAGAAAGCACTTCTTGAAGATATCAGTCAAGAAGGAAGAGCTCTCAGAAATAAAGCAAATGTAAGCATGGATGATAAAATGGGACCTTTTTTTACATTTGAGTAATTGGTTTCATGGGCTGGTTTGTAAGCATGTCATTTAAAAATATTCATAGTTGTTGGCTTATTTTCTAGCCAGAATATTTTGTGTAGGAAAAGAAAGAATTGTCTGTGGAAGCTGAAGCCATTTTGCTGTCGTAGTTGGGAGGAACTTAGAAATGTGGAGCCACATAAGGGCAGAGATGTATACACCATGCTTTCTCAACTAATGGCACCTGAATCCCAGTGTATCCCAGGGAATCACTGGAAAGTGAAAACTGTCACCACTCACAGTATTCTCTCAGTTTTGGGGTAGAAAGAAGCAGCATACACTGAAGCCCTGTTCAGTTATTCATAAGCATTTGTGTATGGTTACATGCAAGGTGGTGGTGGTGGTGGTGGTGGGAGTTAACGCAAGGCCCGCCCCCTCCACGTATGGTTACATGCAAGGTGGTGGTGGTGGGAGTTAACGCTAGGCCTGCCCCCTCCATTGTTCTTTTCTCAAGTGTCACTGTGTTTCTGAAGGAGGAAAACCCTTGTAGAGGCTTTCCATGGAATCAGAAGCTGATTCACATGGAGAGCCCTCAGATGTAGAATGCCCCCCATCCTCTCTCTTCAGATGCTCTGATTTATGCAGGAAGAAGTGAGGATAGAGGGGCAGAGGTGAGTGTGCTCCCCTCTTCTCACCTGAAGTACAGATACTTATCAAGTTCCAAAACCAGCTTAAAATAAATCTTTAGATTTAACTTGAGCCTTAGCTTGCTAGAACTCGGTTTCAACATCTGTTTTGATTAATGGTAAATTATCATGGTAAAACTATTTGGAAATCATGGTGAATATGTAGACCTGCTGTAGTAGCAGCATTTGGCATCAAGGATGTGTACAGTGAATATATTTATTTTTGATTCATTTTGGGTCTTTTTCTGTGTGAGAGTCACCACTGCCATCCCCCACTCAAGAGTGGCGATGGCCAGAGGGGTTTCCTAGAAGATTCCTTTTGATTATTTTGTGCACTGATTTTTTTGTTTGACATGAAAGCGGCTGCCTGTTTCAGGTCATTTTGTTTTGTTTTCTCCCTTCATCTTTCTGGTCTTCAAATTCTAAAAGAACCCTTAAGAAACAACTCCTCTAAAAATCAAGAGGGGCAAGTCAACAGAGAAACAATCTACTTAAAAAGCTGGCAATGGTACAACAACAGCCAAACAAAATCAAACAAAAAAAAATCACCAAAACGTTTAGTAGAAGTAGATGAACCAAATAAAATGTAAGAAAACCTTTCAAATGGGGACAGCATCCCTTTCCCAACACACACACAGAGAGGAGAAAAATAGCAAAATAAAAGAGACACACAGCCTTCTTTCCCAAAAACTATGAAAAGCAAGAGAGCAAGTAAAGGTAAAAGATATAATCAAAGCCCATCTACATAAAAACCACAACAACTTGGATATGGGAAGAGATCTCTCCTCTGCCTTCTCTTCTTCTTTTGTGTGGTGGAATAAATGGAACAAATATCCCTCCACATTTTTTTAAAGATATATAGAGGCACAACTAAGCAGCACAATGTGGAAGGTGCTCAGGAGCTTCTAAAACCCACAAAAAATAGGAATGAAACGGAGAGCACTCTCATTGGGCTCCAACTAATCCAGGCCTTTCTACAGCTTCAAATTTTCCTGCTCCCAAATTTCCCTGGTGAAGGTTAAATGACACAGAGAAAACAAAAAGAGACATCACATTTTTGTGTAGCCCTCTTTCATTAAAACAGATCAGTCATCCAGAGTGCAACGAAATAACCATAGACATGCCTTTCCTTCTCTAGGCTCTGATCACAGGTATTCAGATGGGCCCTGAAAAGAAAAGACGTAAATTAAGTCCAGAAGAGTTGGAGATTCGGCGACGAAAACTACAGGAGGCAGCAGCAAAGAGGGCCAAGCTCAGGGAAGAAAGGAAGCAGAAGAAAGCAGAAGCGGAGCACCAGAAAAAGTAGGTGCTTTGCACGCACGGTTCTTTTGAAAGAAGTCTAAGCCATTGGGATCCTTCAGAGTTCAACCCAGTAATGGATTTAAGACCATCTAGATTTTGGCTGAAGATCAGGAAAAAATTCCTAACTGTTAGAGCAGTACAACAATGAAAACAATTACATCAGGAGCACTCCAACACTGGAGGAATTCAAAAGAAAAATGGACAACCATTTGTCTGATCTGTTTTGACTTGGATTCCTGCATTGAGCAGGGAGGGTAGACTTGAGGGCCTTATAGGCTCCTTTCAACTTCATGATTCTGTTATCTAGAAGCATAAATTTATGTTGCATAAGGCTGATGGCATCATCAGCTGCAACAGTTTTCAGAAATTAAAGCATTTCTGAAACATCTTCGGAACGTTCCAGGACTGGGGGCAACAGGATGAGGGATGTCTTTAATTTCCAAAAATCTCCCTGCATGCCTGAGAATCCCAATTAGGATTCTTTAATTGTCGACTGGAAGCGATTGAATGTTGCGCCATCTACCTTCCTTCTGCATAAAAATATTTAGCCATTGTGTCTGGTACACAAATGAAAAGAGGTGCATGAACTACATACATCTTTCAGGACGATCCCAGGTATCATCGTTAAGAAAAAAACTGATCTGGTGGTGCCTTTCAAGCTTCACCTCACTTGGCACTCGTACTGTTACAGTTTCAGTAAATTGTGCATTGGTTATTTAAGATAAGGAAAGTATTGCTTAATGATCTGTCTGTTTTCTTCATCTTTCTGTAATTCAGAATGGCTTGGTGGGAAGCTAATCATTACAGATCTTACTGCATTGAATCAGAAGAGAGCAGTGAGGAGGAGGAGGAGGAAGAGGAAGGCAGGCTGGATGTGGCTCTGAAATATACGGACCCAGACCTGACCTCCATCAGGTACATTATGGGTGATGTTACCCATCCTGCAGCAGGAGAAGAGGATGCCATCATTGTGCACTGTGTAGGTAGGTGGAATACACGTTATTGGGCAGGCTAGTTTTTAAGCATTGGGTTAACTGGATTTCTGAGAGACCATGGCCTCCTGAGATGCCCTGTTTGGTTGGAACTCATCTCTTGCAACATTAGCTGATGAGAAAAGCGGTGATGGGGACTGAAGCGTGCATGCCCTCCATCCCCACTCCTGTTCCGTTCAGTGTGGGCCAGAGGGGTGATTTCTGCAGTACTCTTGTCCCTAGTACTTGTGGTTCTGCCCTTCCTCTGGCAGCTCACCTGGTTTCTAAGCTGGACTGCCAGACAGTTTGCTCCCTTGCTAGCCAGAATTCCCTGTCACTTTTTTCTGACCAAGTAAATAATTAAGCCAGGACCAGCAGTTATGCCCCAAAGACCCTTCCACATCATTAATCTGTTTATAAGGACCCTTCCAGTAGTGGCTAACATAGTTTTAGTCTTGGCCAACAAATTGTAATCCAACTCCCTGTTGATGCCCTGTAGATAATGACTTAAATGGTTGGAAAAGAATATTTATGGACTCTAATGGCCATTTTATAATTTGGATATGTCATTCTGCCACATGGAAGTAAGTTCTTTTAAAACCTGATGTTCTGGAAGTTTGGAGTACACTGCACTCAGGTTTTCTCCTTTTCTTCAGACTCCTTCTCTACTACATGGCACACAGGTAAACACCAGAAATAGTTTGAGTGGCACAGTTTAGTGAGGTAGAGCTACGTATCTTTCTGACAACTACAGTCCAAAGAGGTCAAATCCATGGCTCCAAAATGTGTTTACACAAGTGGCTTAAACTAGGACTTGTTTGGAGGGAGTGGCTATTTGCTTCCTGTGGGGTTTGGCTCCCTCTACAGTCTAACACCAGAGCATCAAGTGTTCAGGGTTTGTAAGGCAGTAAATATCTGCAGGGTTAATGGTTTTTGCATCTGCAGAATAGTCTTCGGGATCAACAAACGCCATGAATTCTGAGAGTGGATCTTCTGTCAGTCCATATCGACGAACCCTTCCCTTACTGGCCTTTTTCCTCCATTTTCAATAGAAACCTCTTTCACGTAACTCTTTTTTTAAAGATGATTCTGGCTATTGGGGAAGAGGAGGCTTGTTCACTGCACTCAGGAATCGATCCGACCAACCAAAGAAAATATATGAGTTGGCAGGAAAGATGAAAGGTGAGCCAGAGTAACACTGTCTTAGTCTTAGCTTCAGTTTCCATTTATAATGTTCTGTTTTTAATCAGACTCTCCCATTTCTAGAATTAGCAGTTATTAAGGTATTCTAAAAGGACGTAATGCCAACTTGGTTTCTCTTACATTAAGAACAAACTAGAACTCCTTAACTGGTTTATTTGTCTATGAGGGAGGGGTTTTATCCCTCCCAAAGAGGGAAAACACACAAGAAAACTGTGCTAAGATTGAGATGTTGTTTTTATCTTGTGTTTGCCTTGATTTGGGGAAGTGATGTATCAGTATTAAATTTAAGATTTTCTGTTAATCTACAGTGTGACATCACAGAAACATCTCTAGACAGCTAATAAGATCCAGTCCATTGGAAAGTAAATGGTGTGAACCCATAATTGTCTTATCTAGAATCATCCTTCCTTCCCCATTGCATACTTTTAAATACAGATTAATCTGCACGTTAGATAGAAGCCTCTGTCAGCTCTGTTCCCCATCTAAAGAATACAATGTAAAAGGGAGAAAGAATCATTAACATTAATTTCTTCACCTTTATTCCTCATGGTAGTAATTTTTCCCCTTCTATTAATTGTTTTTACAGATCTTGCATTAGGAGGAACACTTTTATTCCCTATTGATGATAAGGAGTCTCGAAACAAAGGACAGGACTTGGTAATTGTACAGAGAGATGCTTTTCTTTTTCTTTCCTTATATTTGAGCCATTTGAAATAACATCTTCTAAAACAGTGGTTTCCAACCTTGGTTGACCCAGATGTTCTTGGCCTGCAACTCCCAGAAATCCTGGCCAGCACAGCAAGAGGTGAAGGCTTCTGGGAATTGCTGTCCAAGAAAATCTGGGAACCCCAGTTTGAGAACCACTGTTTTAAAAGAGGGGCCAAATAAAAAATGGCACTGGACATAGAACGAGCATACAATAATCCTATTAGTAGTACAGTTTGAATGTTATCAAACACCCTTAGAAGCAACTCTGTTTTTCACTTCCAGAAATTCTGCCAAAATAGTCTCTGCTTTTAGAATCCTTTAAAGGTAAAGGTTCCCCTTGACAATTTTTGTCCAGTCGTGTTCAACTCTAGGGGGCAGTGCTCATCCCCGTTTCCAAGCCATAGAGCCAGCGTTTGTCCGAAGACAATCTTCCGTGGTCACATGGCCAGTGTGACTTAGACACAGAACGCTGTTACCTTCCCACCGAAGTGGTCCCTATTTATTTACTTGCATTTGCATGCTTTCAAACTGCTAGGTTGGCGGGAGCGGGGACAAGCGACGGGAGCTCACTCCGTCGCGTGGATTCGATCTTAGGACTGCTTGGTCTTCTGACCCTGCAGCACAGGCTTCTGCGGTGTAGCCCGCAGCGCCACCACGTCCCTTAGAATCCTTTAGTTATTTGCAATTTTGAACAACTGTAACAATGATTTTTTTAAAAAATCAGATATTGGGATTCTCTCAGACATAATCCAGAGGCACTATAACATGTGTTTAAAAAGGAGGAGTCTGTTTCTGGACAATAAATTAAGCCATTAGTTTTCTGAGTGATTTTCAGCATATATAATTTCTTACATATCTCTTTTAATGTCTTCCCAGCTGGCCCTCGTTGTAGCCCAGCACCGTGACCGCTCCAACAATTTGTCTGGAATCAAGCTCCCTGATTTGGAAAGGGGATTAAAGAAAATTTATCTAGCAGCCAAGAAAAGAGATGGTAAGTGTGGCTGTCTGAGGGTGTTGAAAGGGAAGGAACATAATGACCCTCCCTTGACATGTAGATTCCTGCAGGTCCTGCTCAAACAAGTGGGAAAGCACATCTAAGACATTCCGGTCTGGGATACTCAAGAATTCCAACAGCCGCAACTTTGACGGATATAACAGGGTTGTTTTTTGTTTTTTTTACATCAGAGATCTCCTGTGCCTTCTGGAGTTAGTTGCACCTGCAGAAGACCTCTTGATCTCCCTTGGGCACTTCAAAATTCTCATCTCAGACAAACTCCTAGCTCCACAATAAGTACATTTTGACATGTTGCTTAGACTTGAGTTGATTTTTTTAAAAGTGTTACAATGTTATGGACTGTGCTTTCATCTCAAAAGAAATGTCAGGACAGTGTCCAGAAAAGAACCTAGAAACAATAAAATACACAACATAATATTCCAGTAATAACTGAAAATCTAACCATCAAAATAACAGTGAAGCATGCAACCATTTCTAAACTCTTACCGCCTTGAATCTAAAAATATAAGGATGTATAAGAGGTTTTTCACCCGAAGTCAAAAGAATACAGTAGAGATGGACAGGAGCTGCTGGTTTGGCACTTCCGAGCCCCACCTCCGGCGGGTGCCCAGTCGGAGGCAGCGCCCAGAAGAGGTAAGGCAGGGAAGCTGGGCCATTGCCTTTGAGTGGGTGCCTGCTGGAGGAGGTGGGACTCTGAAACTGTCAGACCAGTGGTTTGTGCCTATTTCTAGAATATGGCATTAGTTCCAGGCTTATGTCTCAAAGGAGGACATCCCACAGTCATGAACACATCATCATATAGGAAGACCCTCTCTTTTGTAGATGATGCACACTTCTCTGGGAGGCACACAGAGAATGGCCTTCCCTGATAATCTCAGGATATGCACAACTTGAAATAGGAAGAGGCACTTCTTCAAATATTTGGAACCTAGCACATTTAGAGCTTTAAAGTATGGCATCTTGAATGGAGCTTGCTTCCAAACTGGCAGCGGGGGTTGCTGCTCGAGAACCGACGTAGTACAGCACCAGTGAGACAAGCCGACCAGAGGGTTAGCAGCTGAACTGCGAATTCAGCTAAAGCTCTCAACGCAATTTTCAAGGAAAGCCTCACTTCTAAGACATTCTCATAATCCAATGAAGAGATTACTGGGGTGTCAGTGAGGAACCAGATGGTGCTGGTAAAAGATGTTTTGTACCACTGAGATCATCTTGAGTTTCAGAAAAACCTGATAACCGTTTGTAATAAAGATCTGTCCAAATTCCCTGGTCTTTAAAAAAAAATAATTAAAATTGGAAGCACCAATAAGATTGGCTCTGCCACAGAACCGCTCCTGCAGTGGTTGGACAAAGTTCTCTGAGCCCCTTCCTCCACAATGGACATAGAAAGCTTGGCTGTGCCCTACTTCCATTTAATTGGTACCTCGTTTTTCTGCTGTCTTGGTTCACATGCAATTGACGCGTCTTCCAGGGAGAAGTACACTAAAGAAAGCATCTGTTACTGTTTAACTGAGGCAAAATATTGGGGGGAGGGGCTTGTTAAGGAAATATTGGTCTGTGCTTCAGATTGCACAGTGGAAGAAGCATCCAGAGTGGGAGCTAGTCCTCAGGACTGGTGGCTCATGTTGGGGGTCATGCTGACCTCCTTCACCCTTCCCTCCCTGGCTTAGGGTATAGTTTTATTTATTTTGTACAAGCCAGACATTATATCTTAGTTTTTTGTTTGTTTGTTTGTTTGTTTTGTGCTGCTGTTTGAAATATATTGGAAGTGCAGAAGGAAAGCTACAGGGGAAAAATCATACATTTCATATATATCAAGGACAACTTATAGTCCATTTTATATAGCTTATATAGCCTTCTCAGCCACACTAGATGCTATTCCAAGTCCTCTATTCGGAGCACTTTACCATAGTCTCTTGAGACTGAAGGATGCCTAATCTAATCGCCTTCTTATTTTTAAATCTGTGCTACCCATATTTTTCTAAGCAGTGCCATACTTTAGTTTTTGTTAACATTTTAGAATGTGAAGTCTACTCATTTTACCTAATACTTTTTGAAAAGTTGGTTCTCTACACCTTCTAATTATTCATAAGGGACAAAATACTTTTCCCATTTTTTTTTCAAATTCTCTAGTTGGTCTTCTGTTTACATAATTCATGAGTTTTGCCACTGCAGCAAATTCAAGCATTTTATCTCTCCAATCTTCTTTTGTTGCCCATGTCTCCATTTTCCACTTTTTCCGCATTACCACCCTAGCTGCTATCAACATATAATTGAAGAGTTTTTAAAGAAGATTTTCCTACCTTAAATGCAACTCTCTTCCTTTCCTCTCCCTCTTTCTTTCAGCAAGCGTCCATCTTCCTCGCATTGGTTATTCCACCAAAGGCTTTAACTGGTATGGAACAGAGCGTCTGATCCGCAAATACTTGGCAACACGAGGAATCCCTACATTTGTGTATCCTTGTCAAAGCTGCCATTTTACAGTGCTCAGAATAGTGTTGCCGTATCTGTAAAAGCCAGAAAGTAGACACTGGGAAATGATTGTGCATTCTGGCAAATGAATTATCACATTTCAGCTTGAAAATATTAGCTCCTTGCTGGCTTGATGAGCAATTAGTTTTATCTTTTTGTGTAAATTCCCCAACAGTTTGGGAGGCAGTGCAGTGCAGAGGTTGCATATGCTATAGTAGAACGTCTTGGCAGCAATTTTTTACATGAGTCAGAAATATAAATGATCCATCACATTCCCTTAGCTGGCATATTGGGGGTGGGGGTAAGAGCTGTTCAGCACAGATCATCTTGCAGATCCAGAAACATTTCTTCTTGTTTGGAAAAAATTCTTCCAGCCCAATCCTATGCATACAGTATATGCTAGAGCTGAAACAATGTATTTGCAGCAGTTATTTTTGCTGTATATTGAGTGGCTGTGTTATTTTATTGTACATATGTTATATTGGAAGCTGTGCAGAGTGGTCGTATAGACCAGATGGGCAGGATGTAAGTAAGGAAGTAAGGAAGTAAGGAAGCAAGTAAGGAAGCAAGTAAGTAAGTAAGTAAGTAAGTAAGTAAATATGGCTGTAGAGGTAACAGAGTTAGAAAAGTACATATGGGCATGTTTAAGAATTTCAGACTGAACTAAAAGATTCCCCTTCACCAGCCCTTTTTTCTTTTCTTTTTTTCTTTTACATCTTTTTAAGAGAAGCTATGTCTGCATTCGTTGCTGGACAGGCTGACCTGCTACTCACTTTGAAAACAAAGAGTTACTAGCACCCCAAGAAGCATGCTATGTGATGACTTATCATTCCAAGGGACATTACTTGGACAAGAAGAAATGCCCCTTTTTTGCCCTTTAGGCCATCTTAACCCAAAAAATTACCCTAATGTTCTACCAAAGTCCCTTTCTCCCATCTTTATTAAAGTTCAGAGCACTAGCAAAGATGCTGAAGTGGACAGCATTGTGCCCTCATATTTACTCAGGAGTAGCGCTAAGTTAAATGGTGTTCCTTTCAACCACTATTCTATGGACATACCAGGTAAACCTGAGTCCTGTGTAAGCAGCTCCATAATGAGTACCAGATCATCTTACTTGTTGACTTAAGCTGTTGGTAGTTATAGATATTTTCTGGCAACCAAGAATGGAAGAAATCCCTAACTTACCTCTTCAGATACTATTTTCCTAGGACTAAAGCATCATCGTCCTTGCAGGCATCCACAACGTCAGTATCAACTTCCCAGACTTAAAAGAACCAGTCAATGGGCAAAGCTCCTTCCTACTGCATCTATAATGTCTTAGCACCGGTTTGGGTTTCTTGAACGTGGAGATGGTGGACCACAGGTGAAGACGCAGCCCTAAACTGCACTGCATAGATCAATAATCTGTCCAAAATTTGACCAAGCATTCTTTAAGATAGAATTTGTCAGTTTCCCACAACCCACACATGTTCCATGCTTGCTTTTTAAGTGCTAGCTTAGGCTTCTAGCACAAATTGACCTATGCCACACACTAAAAAAGAGCAAACTAATGATAGACCTGTCATTCAAAACTCCCATCTTTCAATTTTATCTCTTCAGAACTTTTGACTTTCTGTTCCCCAAATGCAGGAAACTCGACTGCATAATTATAAAAGTGTATAAAGAACTTTCTGTTCTATGTACACTTGACCTCTCAGATTGAGAGTATTCTTTCTGTAAAAGATGGCTGCTAGTAGCAGAACATGCAGAATGAGATTCCACCCCTTGGAAAGATTAAAGCTCTCAGCAGGTTACCAGTTGGAACTGATGGTTTTAGTTTGACCTAGCTGAAAGCATTCTTCTGATAGTTAGTTAAAATGCTGTAATATCTACAGACCATTGCATTATTTCCAAGCTACTTGCCAGTTACATTTTCCCAGTTGTGTGAAGAATTTCAGTTCCAAGGACCAGCAGGATATGGAGGTTACTCATGCAATCACAAAAGTCTGTGTACTGGTGGCTTGTCACCATTAAAGGCCTGATTCTGTAGTTGTGAAAACATCAAGGTGTTCAATAAAGAGCTCAGAACTTTGTACTCGTTTATAGTCTCATTGGCTACTTGATCCTCAACTGTAGGTCCACACACATATCATTTTAAATATGATAATGAATAATAATCATGTGCCATCAAGTGAATTTTGGGTTTTCTAGGTAGAAAGTACTGTAACTAGAGTTTACCATTCCCTTCTTCTGGGGATATCTGGAGACTATGCAGATTGCCCATGGCTACACAGGCTGGCTTTCCCCTGAAGGCACAGTGGGGAATCAAACTCCCACTCCCTGGCTCCACAGCCAGACATACCTAACTCATTAAGCTATAAGTTATATATAAACGGGTTGATTTAATGGAGCACATCCATTTTGGAATACACTGTTTGGGTTTGGGGTGTTTTCATCTATGGTTTCCCAGAGTACCCTCACAGGCCAGATCTAGCTACCCACAACAGGGAAGCATCTGCTATTGCTTTTTAACCTTTAGCACCATTATTTTCCCAAGGCAACTGGATAGAAAGGATGTAGTCTTGGGAACTTAAAGCAACTAATTCAGTAATGCGTGGGCAACTGGCTCTCCTTTGTTTTGCTCTTAATTGTTTTGCTCTTCAGGTTGTGGATGTAGACTCTGCCAGATAGGCATCATCCCATGTATCAGATGCTGCTAATGTTCGGAGCATTTAAAAGCAGGTTCCGGGAGAGAGGGAAGATCTCACAGACCATGCTGGTTCTGGTGACTGGTGTAACTGATCCCATGTCCCGAAGTAATCTTTAGGAATCCATTGTTACACATATAGGTGTGTTTTCATTCCTCTCTCTTTCAGCAATTGTACCACGACAGATATCACTGCCCCATGTGTCAGTACCATTAGTGATCAATCGGAGTCTGTAGTGATGAACAAGAATATTAACAGTACGTGGCCTGGCCTCTCCAGGCAATGATAGATACAACTTGAGAAAGGGATTCACTGCCAGGAACTGATGGTAGTGAACCTCTTGACCACAGACTCAGCTTTCTTTAGCTTAAATAAAGACCTGCCTAGTTTGCATTCATTCCCTTCTTAGGCCAAGTGTTTCCTTGTCTTAAGACAAACACAACGCTAACCAAAGCCAGCATAAAAAAGGAGGCAGTCCCAAGCACTGCACAACACTGTATCTCCTTGGCATGATCATAGGCACAAGTTTAGTCTCAGTCACCAGTGCATTCAATACTTTCTTAGCACTTTTGCCAAGCTAGGCTCAACAGATGATGTTAAAGCAGACCTGTATGGAGTAGAGAGCACTGGTGCATTTCATTTAGCCCCAGAGAACAGTGTTATGAAGGTTCTTCTCCAGATGCCAATGCCTAATGATAGGAACAATGCTCTTTTTTTATGGCTCAGAGACACCTCTGAATGTTGCCTTACGTGCAGGTGATTGTCAAGATATTTTGAAGACTACCCTCTATTACTTCCTGTTGGCCACACTGCTCGTATCACTAACATGCAGAGTTATCAGCATGCAACCATTGGAGGATACAAACAATATTGGATCTCCTGTCTCAGTATCCATGATGGTATTCAACCCACATAAGAGCCATTTCAAAGCTTCCCTATACCAGATATTTTTTTATTTCTCCATGGCAGACTAGATTAGGGTCCCAAAAAGTAGGTGCCCCTCCATATCCCTGGCACAGGGCCAAGCAGGCTCTTCCCTTGTCATTTTTGCAAACATTTCCTTAGCCCAAGTGTCATTACTTGACCTTAATGGTTTATGGATATTACGGGTCAAATGTATGGAAGGCAAAAGTGCTTGGACTGTGCCTCTGTAGGGCGAGGGGAGCACCCTGACCCCACCTGGATGATGAGCTGTTCTGGAGGCAGAAATCTTCATGAGTTTCAGATGGAATGCCCCTTCCCCCTATGTTAAAATCCATCACCAAACCACAGCACATCAAATTGGTCCTAAGAGTGCTCTGTTAGCAATAGGATTTTCTTACTTCCAGTCACAAACATCTTCATCAAAGTCATGGATCAGGTCCAACAATAAAAATCTAGAGATTTTTACTCAATGTGTCTTGGTTCCGTATATTTCATTATAGTTTACCTCAGGGTAGTAATAAAAATGCTACATCAGACATTTTTACGACACATCAGTAGATAAAATATATTTGATACACTTATAAAGGGGTATGGGAAACACTATAAAAATCAGAGAATTTTTTTCTTGCATCATGGTGGCACCAGGAAGCGATGGATCCAAGCATGTTGTGGTTGGTGATCGTGGTATTTTGGAAGTTACACATCAGACTGATCCTTTTATGCCGTAAAGCAGAAGATCTGCATTCCTTGTGATTTTAGTCCTTAGGCAGAAATGTGATATGGTGGTATGCTGTATAAAACATCCTGATAATACTGTATATGCTTCCAGTCCACGTTTTTTGTGCTGTGAGTGCATCAGAACGTGCAGGAAGCTTGATTTTGATGACTTAAGGCGGAAGAGACATAAAGGATTAACTGAAATTAATTTGGAAGGTTGTGGGTGGGGGGACATTAAATCAGACTTTACTGGATCAGACGTTTGTGTCTGCGGTCCCTATTTTATTTTCGCGGTGGCGCTCCGAAGCAACGCGTCTTTCTTCAACTCCCACAGTGTGCAGTCAGGTCCGTGGATATGAATCCAGACCGTAGGGGACGGGAGGGCTTGGAATTCCAACAAGCAAGGGCAGTTTGGCAATAAGGCTCCCTCAGGGCTTTCGGATATATACAGTATATAGTACGCATAGGGCCTGGCCGCCTTTTTTCACTCTCCTCGACCTCAGAGCTGCCGCCCTGAACGCCACCTTAGAACCTCAAGGGTCCCCCACTAAACCCCGGTTACATGGAGGGGCGTCGCCTCATAACCGCGCTCTAGGTCTGGCGCCCCTCGGCTTTCACCAGGCGGCCGGGGAGGGCAGGGCAGGGCA